GTTAGGGATGTTGCCACTGCTCATATTCTAGCATTTGAAGTTCCTTCAGCAAGTGGAAGATATTGTTTAGTTTCAAATGTTACACACGCTTATGAGGTTCTGAAGATTATACAAGAACTTTATCCCACTTTGCACCTTCCTGGCAAGTAAGTTATTGGAAAATTTCTGTGAGTAATTGATGCCCTTCCATTAACTAAGATTACTCATGAGTAGCCAAAATCAAATGGGAGAAGAATAACATTAGCTTTCATAACAATGTGCATTTGACAGTGACACTGCATAAACATTTTTTTGTTCCTTTTAGATATTAAAATATGCATTTTGAAAAGAGAGATCAAATTTTACACTGAAAGTGGCATACTTCTAAGTTTTTCGTTGTTGTTATTACTAGCAGATGTGAGGTTGGTAGTACTTTAGAACTGAAATATCAAGTATCCGCTGCAAAAGGTTTAGGAATTAATTTCCTTCCTTTGGAAGCAACTCCCAGGGATACAATTGAAAGCCTGAAGGAGAAAGGCTTCCTCAAGATTTGAAATATGCAATTTCCATATGAACTTGTTAAGTTAGTGCAATGAGACTTTCCTACGTTAATCTGCAGACACCCACAGGGGTTGATTACGCAAATGCTCAGACGTTGTGTAACGACTCGTCCCTAAATATTACGGTTTTATAATTTTAAAATGTTAATTTACAAAAATACCCCTAAGGAGGAAAGCGTTGACTTCCGTTGACTCTCATTCTATGACATGTAGAAACTTTTCCTTTAATTAATTCATGTTGCACTCGTCGCTACGAATGTGTGGGCACAAGGAAAATCGAATTTGGAGGTACGATGAACGTTTTACAGAATTACGAAGTCGAGGGGCAAAGTAGTCAATTCACTATTCTAGATATTAAGGTTTTGGATATTTGTTTATTTTATTAATTTTTCTGGTGGATTTTTGTAGTCATGGGGCCCACACCTCACTTCCTCTTCCCCATTGTGTCTTCCTTTCCCCCAATACTCTCGGACTCTCTCGAAACTTTCCCTCATCACTCTCTATCACCCCTCACCTAAAACACTTTTCCCCGTTCTATGTCCTCTGAGAACCACTGAGGCACCATTGGCCTCCCCACTCCGACAACCACCGCACCATCACCCATTCATTTTTGGTTTTCTAAACCCCCTCATTCTCATTCTCATTCTCTAAACTCTGTGTCCATTGCATAGAAACAGGAATGGTGATCACCTGTCATCGCTGACTGCGACGAGGTTGACATACCATTAGGCTACCATCACTTCTTATATGTGAAAACCTAGGAATCGGAGACCACACCCTGGACCCTCTGTCTCATGTCTTTGTCTTCCCCACTACATAGAACGACTAAGCCAAGACTAGCATCGCCATTTTCTCCAGCGAGTTAACTTAGAACCTAAAAACGAAGGTGAGCATGACAATAGGATTTACCTCAACTTTTGGTGACATTTTCTAGTTATATGGGTGGATTTTGGGTTGAAGATCGAGGGTTTTAACCATGTTCGTGTCTGTCCTTCATTTTCCAGTTTTCCAGCGAGGACCTATGGACTATCGAGCCATTTTCTAGCCAACTCCGACCACGGCTAGCTACATGATATGTATATTATTCTTCCTTGTTCCTTAGGCTTCAATTTGGTATATTGAATTACTAGTTTTAGTCTGGTTTTGGGGATGAACGGAGCTCTCCAAGCTCCATTTTTCTTCTTTGTTAAAGTAGGGGCTAACCCATAGCTTGAAACCAGGTCGACCTAACCCGCAACCCAAAACCAAGCACAATCCAATAACTAGGCCCTTACTAGGTTTTTCGATGTGCCGAATCCGAATCCGCTATCCGTTTTCCCAAATTCGATCATTTTAGTAGAGTTTTATAAATGGTCTTTATTTTTGTTTATGTGTGTCGGTTGGATGTGATCCCATCCTCCCTAGTTCGAGCAGCTCTCCGGCAACAAAATATCTGTGAGTGGACCCTTTCTCAAATTGCATGTTTTTATAAAATATTAGGCTTGCATGCATTTCATATTTCATGAATTGAGTATGTTTTATGGAAAATTTATGATTTATTTAAATTGCTTCTACGAAATATTGATGATTTATTGAATTTACGTTTTACTAAAGGTTATGAATTATTGGATTTTCGTATATGAAATTCTATGGATTTACGAATATGATTTATTTATGATTATGAATTGATGCTTTGAGCTTTTGAGCTCCGGTGATTTGATATGAGATTGTGAGATATGTTTTATGTGTTTATCTAGTGGGTTATCATACAACACATACATAGAATACGAGTATGTAGATGTCTATGGCCATAGGACACAATTGATGATATTTATGACATACTCCCAGCTTCACTAGCCATGGCTAGTGTCAGTGCGTTATGTTATATGTATATGTTTCTTCTCTGGCGTAACCCAGAGTTGTACAGCTTCACCTTCGGGTGATCGACCCATTATTTCTTCACTGGCCTAACCCAATGTCGTACAACTTCACATTCGGGTGATGGACCCACTATATATGTTTCTTCTCTGGTGTAACCCAGAATCGTACAGTTTCACCTTTAGGTGATAGACCCATTATTTCTTCACTAGCGTAAACCAATGTCGTACAGCTTCACCTTCGGGTGATTGACCCACTATATATGTTTTTCTCTGGCGTAACCCAGAGTCGTACAGTTTCACCTTCAGGTGATGGACCCATTATTTCTTCACTAGTGTAACCCAGTGTTGTACAAGTACACCTTCAGGTGATGGACCCATTATATATGTTTCTTATCTGGCGTAACCCAGAGTTGTACAGCTTCACCTTCAGGTGATGAACCCATTATTTCTTCACTGGCATAACCCAGTGTCGTACAACTTCACCTTCGGGTGATGGTTATGCCTTCGGGCGACTATGACACCCCTAGTTGAGTACCTCAATGATGTGATTTACGGATGTTTTACGGATTTACCTTCAGGCGTTTATATTACCTTTACTAAGCACTAGTTTACACGTACATGTTTTACGAATGTTTTTCATGGCATGCTAGAGTTTTCAAAAAACCTACTATGTAGTACTATATATTAGGGGTGGGCAAACGGGTCCTGGACCCCCGGGTCGGGGCGGCTATATGCAGTTCGGGCCAGGTACAGGGCAGGTCCAAAAATTCAAAATGTAGAACAGACCGGGGCCAGGCGGATCCATGTAATTAACGGGGCGAGTAACAGATTTTGAGGAAACGAGCCCCCAGCCCAGACCGTTTCCTAGGTCCCAACTTGTTTCTTCTAATTCCATCTCGAACAATGCACAGCTTGTAAAGTTATAAATTAATATAATATAAAATCACCAAGACAGATGCTTGGTGTATAAGAAGCCACATATGCTTTTTTTGTTGGAAACAGTACACACACGCCACACTCAGAGACAGAAGCAATAAAGTCTTCCCCCACCTCACTCTACTGTCTCCCTCAATCTACCCTGTTACCTGTCCTCTTCTGCAACAAGATAACATTTTTTAACTTTTCATATAATTCCACATCTACCCTTTGAGAGAATTCAGAGATCCTTCCATTTGTTTTTATACAGCCAAAAACCAATAACACAAGGATGAGGAAGGAAAGAGAGGGAGGCCCAGAAATCCCAATCGCCATAAACGACTTCGAGGGTCTCCTGACCTCCGATTTCGACTTCAAACCCTCCGGCAAATCGACCCCAATCACTGAACCCAGACCATCATACTCCTCTGCCTCATCTCCCCTCCTCGCCGCTGTTGTATTCTTGGTTGTGGGCATCGCCTGATGACCCACTAGAAGTCTAGAAGGTGCTGTTGTGTCGACAAGTAGGCCTCAGCACTCCACCTTGTTAAATTTGGGAACGCTCGAGTGGAAGTAGATCTATACCAAAGCATCTGCAATTCTGGGTAGCTGTTGAACAAGTTGTCGTCCCCAAGAATGAAGATGTTGTGAAAAGTAGAAAGAAAAAAAGAAACTAGCAGTATGCCCAAAAAGTCGAAAGAAAAAAAAAAGTAATTGGACCCGTAGACCCCCGAACTGGCCCGTTTCAAATGGGTCGGGTTAGGTTCAGTTCCTAAACTCATAATTCTTCTACCCGGTCCGACCCACCCATTACATTTTAAAATGGGTAGAGTCCGGTTCCTCCAAATTTAGGCCCGGCCCCGCCCGTGCCCAGCCTTACTGTATATGTGTTTTCAAAACAAGGGGTTAGTATGTTCAGAAAGAAAATGGTTTTTCTTATTATTAGTATTAGTATTATAAACTTTGGTTCACTTACCCTTTGTTTTGCGCCCCCCTTCAGGAGTTAGAAACAAGGCATCCGATCCCACGATCAGGGCACTTACGTATAGGTATCTTCGAGTCTTCTCTGTGTAAGACCCATTCCTTTATTCGTATATTTGTATAATTATTCTTGATTAGTTGTATGCTTTGAACATGTTTCTGCATTGACATATTTCTTTCTAATTAAGTATTTGATTTGTATGCATGTTTAAAATGGCTTTGTCACCCTCGGGTGTCAGCCAGCACATACCTATCCTGATATTTGGTGATATCGGGGTCGGGACGTGTCACGTTGCTTTCAGATCGTTTTGTATGATTCAATAAAATGGTAGAATTGCATGGAAAAAACTTGATTTTTAATCATGCGCAATAATACCGAGGACTTATCGGTTTGCAGTGTTTTAGCATATGAAATAAGCAGATCCTTTCTAAACCAAAGTTTGATACATAAACAATGACTTCCAACCAGATAAAATAATAATTAACGTTTTCCTTTCATATTGTTTTTAATTTTTTTTCAATATGCATAGTAAACAATGATTTCCATTACACAACAGAACCACTTCACCTACACCAGACCTCCAGCCCTTCACCTAAATTTCCACCATAAGAAACCATCTACTCGACCATTACATAAGTTGTTTAGCTAACTTTCCACCTTAAGTAACCACCAACTCTACCATTATATAACTGAAGTTGTAAGAGATAGACACAGAGAGAAATGAGTGGGGGAACGAAGGTTGTGTGTGTAACAGGAGCCTCCGGCTACATAGGCTCGTGGCTTGTGAAGCTCTTGCTACAAAGAGGTTATACTGTCAGAGCTACCGTTCGCGACCCAAGTAAGTATTACTTCTAGTTCATAACCTTCTTCCGACCTACAACAATATTGTTGTCCTTAACTTCAGCATCTAGGTGCATCCTAGGTGGGATCTGCACCATTTTATTTCAAAGCACCTCACTGCAAGTTAGGGAGAACTACCACTTATGGCCCGTCTTATTACAATTTTGTTACTAGTTTTTGACTTTTGTGTGTGTGACATGAGAAAAGTATAAATGGAAACGAGGGAAAAATAAAGTATTGAGATGGAGGGAGAAGATATAAAGAAGAATGAATGAAGACAAAATCTTCGTGTGCCTTTCCTTGTACATTTCTTTTACATTCCTCCCATCATTCTTGCTCCACTCTTCTATATCCCTCATTTCTCTCATGTATTTCTCCTCGACCTCCAACGCAAAAATGATAACTAAAACCTAAAAACAAAATGGTTAGCAAACGAGTGTTTAATATACCCCTTATGAACTTTCACTTCTCCGACATGAGACAATTGTATTTGACACCCAATAGCTAATATTTTTGACAGCTTAAATTCAATGTATGTCCAGTGGGGTGGTTGTAATCCTAGTTCAACTCACCAGTTCTGTTTGTGTAATGCCACAGATGATCCAAAGAAAACAGAGCACTTGCTCTCACTTGATGGAGCAAAAGAAAGGCTTCATTTGTTCAAGGCAGGTTTATTAGAAGAAGGAGCTTTCGACCCCGTAATTGATGGATGCGTTGGTGTTTTTCATACAGCATCGCCTGTACAACTTTCAGCCACTGACCCACAGGTTTGTCCTTTTCACTTCACGCTTTGAATATTCCATCATGTGTTTCAAGACTTCCGATGTAAAAATCGAAATGATAAGTTTTTCCATATTTCAGGCAGAAATAGTTGAGCCTGCAGTGAAGGGAACTCTGAATGTTCTAAAATCATGTGCGAAATTTCCCACTGTCAAGAGAGTGGTTTTAACATCTTCCATGTCTTCAGTATCGTTTAGTAGAACACCGATAACTTCTGATATGGTTTTGGATGAAACATGGTACTCAGATCCACTTGTTTGTGAGCAGAACCAGGTACGCTTGCATACTCCCGAGTTTCACCTTGTATTCGTTGTTAGTTTGTTTGATTTCAATATCAGTAGCAACAAGATTTAATCTAGTTACATCAGTTACGTGTATGGATGAAGTTCTGTAATAGAAAGAACAACATTCATTGGATGTGTATTGTGTTTCTAATACTCAAAAGACTGCCAATTTATTGATCACATAAGAACTTCCTTCATCATGTGCTCAGAGATGGTATCCGCTCTCCAAAATTTTAGCTGAGGAGGCTGCCTGGAAATTTGCAAAAGAAAATGGGATCGACTTGGTGTCGATGAATCCAGGGATTGTGATTGGTCCGCTCTTACAGCCAACTCTTAATGGCTCCGTGGAGCTGATTGCAAATATCATAAGTGGTACAATTCTGCAACTAAATTACTTCTTGGGTTCTTAGCCAATAGATAATTTTTCACCCCCTGTGCGTTTAAAAATCCCTGTGATGCAAGCAATTGATTGTGTTTTGTTTCTCTTTCGGGCTCAGGTATCCAAACACCATTTCTAAATTATACATTTGTAGACGTTAGAGATGTTGCCTCTGCCCATATTCAAGCATTCGAAGTTCCTTCAGCTAATGGCAGATATTGTTTAGTTGGCCAAGTAGCTGACGGCCCCGATACTCTACAGATTTTACGACAACTTTACCCCACTTTGTGCCTTCCTGAGTTTGGCAATCCTTCTGACTCAAAGTATCAAGTGTCAAAGGAGAAAGCGAAAAGTTTGGGAATTAATTTCCTTCCTCTGGAAGCAAGTCTAAGGGACACTATTGAAAGCCTCAAGGAGAAGGGCTTCCTCAATATCTGAAGTGTGCAACTTACATGCATATCGGTAGGATATTTTGAAAACATGCTTAAAGGAAATATTTGGCCATACTGTGGTTTGAATCCGTTGAATTTTATTTCCTGGTAAAGTACTGTATTTGCAGTAAAAAATATTTGTTCCGGTTACGACTTGAGACTCTCTTAAATTAGTTCATTTCAATTCTTTTGTTTTAAATTTTAGAAATGCATGGCAAAACTCAATTTTGAATCAATTAATGTGAAATAAAATGTTGGAAATTAATCTCTATGCAACAAATACGATGAGGTGTTGATCTCGAAGTGTTTGTTCATAATAAACAAGGGTGCCGATCACATAACTGAAGTTTCAGTGAATTTCCACCCTAAGAAACATCAACTCTACCGTTTACGTAACGGAGTTGTTAGAGATAGACACAGAGAAAGAATGAGTGGAGAAACAAAGGTTGTGTTTGCAACAGGAGACTCTGGCTACACAGCGTCATGGCTTGTGAAGCCCTTAGTACAAAGAGGTTATACTGTCAAAAGTACTGTTTGTGATCCGAGTAAGTATTGTCAGTAAACTTACCTAACAGTTAGTTTTTTAGTGTTCATTTTCAAAGTCTGGATTTTGTATTCTGTATTGTGTTTTTTATTCTGTTCTCGTTTTTTTTTTTTTTTAAAAGAACCATTTATAGGATCCAAGTCATATTCTGAAATCTTGATCTGGAAAGGCAATTGTGGTTCTGAAACCTACTTGTCATATAAGGCAAACCTTTAGGCCAACTGTGTTGGAGCCCACATCCTCTTTAACTTCTTCAGCCCATCCGATGGAACTGGTTATGAGTTTTATCTCAAAAGGCCTCGCTGCAATCTTAGTTCAACTCAATAGTTCTGTTTGTCTATGTCACGGAATATGATTCTAAGAAAACAGAGCAATTGCACTCACTTGATGGAGCAAATGAATTATGAAAGGCTTCAATTGTTCAAAGCTGATTTAGTCTAAGAAGGGTCTTTCGACGGGTAGTTGAACAAAATCGATGTAAAGCCAGAATATTTTTCTCCTTATTTCAGGCAGATTTAGTTGGCCCTGCAGTTAAAGGGGACACAATGTTTTAAAATCATGCATGAAATTTCCGTCAAGAAGTGGTTTTAACATCTTCTATGGCTTCAGTAAAGATGACTGGAACCCTCTAACATCTGATGTGGTTATGGATGAAACATGGTACTCGGATTCACTTTTATTAAGAGAATCGCGAGGAGAACAAGGCCATGATTCCGTCGTGTTTAAGGTCAAAAACGACTGTTTAGGCTTCCAAAACTGCAAAATAAATTTGTAATGAGTTTTAGACTTTTCGATTTCCGGCTAATTAATGTCATTTTAATTTCATAAGCTTTTAATTTGCCCAACGAAGTTATAAGTGACTTATTTAAGTCGTTGATGTTCTCATTATAAATCATCAATTCAATATTTAATAAAATAACTCTTTGGTATTTCTCTTAAACAAAAGGTGAATTTCAAATTTTAGTTCTTTAAGAATTTACTGTTGTAATTCTTATACTTCGTACTTCGTCGTTGTTCTCTTGAAAATATTGATTGTTTTAGCAAAAGGTGAACAAATCTTTTTAAAAAGTGCAAAAAGACATGTAATACTTGAACAAATCGTTGAGGTACATCATTTGGAACTCCCCAAACTACGTCTTGGTCACTCGTTGTTCCTTTTTTATTAGTAGATAAATTGTGCAAGGTAAAAGGAGGATTAATTGTGTTTTATGGTTTAAAGGGATGCACATGCAACAAAAAAAACGTCAAAACCCCTTCAATGTAAAATATTGCCATGTATCAAAACCAAAATTTAGAAACTTTAAAACGGCGGGGCATAAAAACTGACAAGCATATGCAACGAAACAAAATCATCAACTTTAAAACATTAGATGTATCCTATATGAGATATTTAGTCCAATTTCTTTTATAAAATATGGTAAGAATATTATATATTATATACTCTTCTATTGATCATTTATATTTTATTTTTATTTATACAACGAATATTTACACAAAGAGATAAATGAATAAATATTTCGAACTCGCCATTCACTAGAATCTAATGCCTATCATTTTACAAGTGAAGATAAATACAACAACAACAACAACAACAACAACAACAACAAAGCCTTTTCCCACTAAGTGGGATCGGCTATATGAATCCTAGAACGCCATTGCGCTCGGTTTTGTGTCATGTCCTCCGTTAAATCCAAGTACTCTAAGTCTTTTCTTAGAGTCTCTTCCAAAGTTTTCCTAGGTCTTCCTCTACCCCTTCGGCCCTGAACCTCTGTCCCGTAGTCACATCTTCGAACCGGAGCGTCAGTCGGCCTTCTTTTGCACATGTCCAGGTCACCGGAGCCGATTTTCTCTCATCTTTCCTACAATTTCGGCTACTCCTACTTTACCTCGGATATCCTCATTCCCAATCTTATCCTTTCTCGTGTGCCCACACATCCCACGAAGCATCCTCATCTCCGCTACACCTATTTTGTGTACGTGTTGATGCTTCACCACCCAACATTCTGTGCCATACAACATCGCAGGCCTTATTGTCGTCCTATAAAATTTTCCCTTGGGCTTCAGTGGCCTACGACGGTCACACAACACGCCGGATGCACTCTTTCCATCCAGCTCGTATTCTATGGTTGAGATCTCCATCTAATTCTCCGTTCTCTTGCAAGATAGATCCTAGGTAGCGAAAACGGTCGCTTTTTGTGATCTTCGCTAGATTGCTCCGGTCATTAGTGTGGATAAGTATATAAATGGATAGAGATAGGAAAGCAAACACAAGATGTACGTGGTTCACCCAGATTGGCTACGTCCACGGAATAGAAGAGTTCTCATTAATTGTGAAGGGTTTACACAAGTACATAGGTTCAAGCTCTCCTTTAGTGAGTACAAGTGAATGATTTAGTACAAATGACATTAGGAAATATTGTGGGAGAATGATCTCGTAATCACGAAACTTCTAGGTATCGGAGTGTGGTGTCGTCTTGACTTGCCTTATCTGTCTCATAGGTAGATGTGGCATCTTCTCTGGAAGTACTCTTCCTCCACCCAGGGGTGGTATCTTTAACTGGTGGAGATGCACAAGGTAATGTATCAATTTCACTTGAAGCTTACTTGTAGTTTCAGGCTTGGTCAAGCGCGATACAAACCATGTAGTAGGAGTCCCCCAAGTCGCCGAGCTAGGGGGTCTGCTGAAAGAGGTGACAGACAAAGTAAGCAATCAGAGCTCCGACCGATTGTTCACCTTCTCCCCATCTTGCAGCAGCATGAAGGATAAAGAGAAGAAAAATGAGAAGAGATGATATGAGATACTTTTGCTTTTGAAGAAGTAACTTTCCACAGGCTTATTCTTGAACTGAGCTGGAGGGTTTTCTGGTTTCCTCCAAAGTATAAGGCCGACTGAAGAATTTGAGGGTCAAAACAAGTCCATCAAATCTAGAGTATGTTCCACCCTGCTGATATGGGATACTTTTTCTTTTGACAGAGTAATGGATGTATCGGCACGTGTGTTGTTATGCTTGTCTCCACATGCTTCCTTGTATCCTTCGCACTTGCCCTATCTGTTCCTCAAGCAGATGCGGAATCTTCCCTGGAAACATAAGATGTTGAAGATGAGTACTCGAGAGCAATGTCAGGTAAGTAATCAGGTAAGGGGTTCCAGGCAGTCAGTTCCTGGCTGGAAGCTTGATTCCAAGTGCTGACTGATTGCTCTCTTTCTTCTTGTCTTGCAGGTAAAAACAAGGCCAAAAGAAAAGACAGGGAAAAAGCATGATATGGGATACTCTTGCTTTTAACCCTGATGATATGAGATATTCTTGCTCTAGTATAGCTTGTTTGCAGAGGTATTATCGGGGGGAAAGAAAGCTGAATATTTCGAAAGGCTTCGTTGGGAGTGCCCTCTTAGATATGATGAAGGGTTGAGCATTTTTGCAGGTCTGCCTGTCCGTTGGGGATGGAGGTCGACATATATAGGAGTCTCCCTAACAACAAGTAGTAATGCTATTCCTTTACCTTGCTTGGTCATAGCACGGTAGTGGGAGCTGCCAGTTTCACATGTTTTAACTCTGTCAGAGCACTTTGAAAAAGTGGTCTGTGGTATCTGGCTCTCGAGATTCGGAGAACGATGCCTCTTCGATTTTTGAGAAAGCAATCATGCTGGGGGTCTGACTCTCGAGATTCGGAGAGCAGTCTCTTCGATTTTTGAGGAAGTAATCATGTTGGGAGTCTGGCTCTCGAGATTCGGAGGGCGGTGCCTCTTCGATTTTGGAGCCAGCAATCTTGTTGGGAGTGTTGTCTCGAATGTGAGTAAAGGTTGGGCATGTTTGCTAGTCTACCTTGCCACAAAGCACAAAGGTTGACACACAGGGACTTTCCAATTATCCAGCAATGGTACTGTTCCTTTACCCTCTCTTCGATTTTGAGAAAGTAGTCATGTTGGGAGTCTGGCTCTCGAGATTCGGAGGACGGTGCCTCTTCGATTTTGGAGCAAGCAATCTTGTTGGGAGTGTTTTCTCGAATGTGAGTAAAGGTTGGGCATGTTTGCTAGTCTACCTTGCCACGAAGCACAGAGGTTGACACACAGGGACTTTCCAATTATCCAGCAGTGGTACTGTTCCTTTACCCTTGCGGGTAATAATATGGTAACTAGACCTTTAAAATTTATGTGTCTAAACTTTTGTTAGTGCTGTTTCTTTGCTATTCTTTTACCTTTCTTGGTCAGAGCGATGTAGTGGGAGCTGCAAGCTTCACGTGCTCAACTTTGGCAGAGAACTTTGGCAAAGTTATTTGTGGTACCCATGAGCTATTGTTGCGTGTGGGAAGTGAGTGATTGAACAGTAAGATTCATGTGCTTTCTACTTCACCAGAAGTCTTCGACAGAATGCCCATAATTTCTGCAAAGCTGAGTGTGCGTGTGACAGGTGCTGACAAGGCTAGAAAAGTAGGTGCCTCTTCGATTTCTGAGATCGACCCTCGTGGTCTCTGAGCAGCCCAGCTTTTGAGAAAGCGAGCGCCTCTTCGATTGATTCGGAGAACGATGCCTCATCGATTTTTGAGAAAGCAATCATGCTGGGGGTCTGGCTCTCGAGATTCGGGGAGCAGTGTCTCTTCGATTTTTGAGAAAGTAATCATGTTGGGAGTCTGGCTCTCGA